CCCCCCCCCCCCACAGCCCTCCTTATTGTCGGCGGATGGCAAATCCGTCCTCCAGCTACCAGCACAGAAACCTTGGAGTCCCTCTGGACTCCTGTGTCTCTCGGCTCACGTCCAACGCATCAGGAAACCCTGTCAAAACGTATCCCAGAATCTATTTGATGACAGTGAGCAATTAATACTATTTTAGGTGTCATGGTGCTATTTTGTTCATGTTTTTTTAATCCTTTCTTAGAGATGCATACTGAAATACTTAGAAGTGAAATTATACAGTGTCTGGAATTTGCTACTAGGTACCTATCTCCCCGGCAGAAACAAAAACACATGCACACACGCAAATGCTCACAGCAGCATTACTCACAATGGCCAAAGAGTGAAAATGACCCAAAAGTCCATCAACTGATGAGTAAAAGTCCAGCACATTCTCATGCCAAAAAATGGACCAGTCTTACACGCATAACACTAAAAGAAGCAACTCACAAGAGACAACATATTGTGTGATTACATTTATGGGAAATGTCCAGAACACGCAAACCCATAGAGACAGAATGATTGGTGGATGCTTAAGAGCTGAGAGATAGGGGGTAATGAAGGTGATAGCTAACGAGGTGCGGGGTTTTTTTGGAGTCATGAAAATGTTCCGGAATGAGATAGTGGTGATGCTTACGAGGTGCAGGGTTTTTTTGGAGTCATGAAAATATTCTGGAATGAGATAGTGGTGATGGTTGCACAACTCTGGATATACTACAAACCAGGGAGCTGTACACTTTAAACGGGTGAATTGGGTGGTATGAGAATTATGTCCTAAACCCACTATTGAAAATAATAATAACAAGAGATGTGTGTGAGAAGCATAAATTAAACAAAAGTAGCCCTGGGGCGCCTGGGTGGCTCAGTCGGATGAGCATCCAACTTCAGCTCAGGTCATGATCTCGTGGTTTGTGAGTTCGAGCCCCGCGTCGGGCTCTGTGCTGACAGCTCAGAGCCTGGAGCCTGCTTCGGATTCTGTGTCTCATTCTCTCTCTGCCCCTCCCCCACTTGTGCCCTGTCTCTGTCTCTCAAAAATAAATAAATGTAAAAACAATTTTTAAACAAAAGTAGCCATGAGTTGACAACTGTCAAAGCTGGGAGATGAGTACATGGGGTTTACTATTCTATTCTTTCTACTTTTGTACATCTTTGGACTTTTTCATAATAAAATGTTCAAAGCACCACCATCTCTCATCTGGATTACTGCAATAACCTCCTAAAAGGTCACCCTGCTCCTACGTCTTGTCTCCTATAATTTGTTCTCCCCACAGGGGCAGACTGGCCTAACAGGTAATTCTGATCACGTCCCTCCTCTACTCTGTTCCCTACCAGTTCCTCATTGCCCTCCGTGTAAAAGCCAAGGTCCCTAAAACGGCCTGCAAAGCCCTCAACTGTCTGGTCCCTCAGTGCTTCTTCTCCAAGTATTCTCCCCTCACACACTCTACTCCAGCTACAGTGGCCTCCTTGCCATTCCTTGAACACGCCAGGATGGCTCATCCATCCCCAAGTCACAGAAACGGTTTGAGGTCGGGTAGACATTAATCGTTTTGCAAAGCGAGGCACATGAAGTAAGACACGTAGCTGCCAAACTATAGTTGAAGCCTTTTTAAAGAACTTAACCTCCAATGCAGTCAAGTTTAATGAACAGAAAATGTCTCGGAACTAGAAGAGTCATCCACAAAGCAGGGGTGTGGTCAGACTCCGCAGCGGTGGCGGAGGACGGAAACAGTCCCGCTCGCCAGCAAGGTAACCCGGCCCCTGCATCTGCCGGCCGCGGCCGGTGCGCTACAAGCAGGCAGCAGAAATGGGCCAGGCCCAAAAGGAAGGGGAAGCCTGGATGTCCGGGGGAGTCTCGGAGACAGCGGAACGCCCACCGAAAGTACCCTGTCTTCGAGAACACGACCACACCTGTCAGCAGAGTCGGTCCGACGTGAGAAGCGCAGGAACAGCGAGCCGCGAGCACTCCTCGGGCCCCGGCGCTCCGAGAAAGTCCGGGTTCTGCGGTCACCTTTTCCTTCTCCCGCTGCCGAAATTCACACTTCCGGCTTCCGGTGTCGTAGCTGTGAGATCCGGAAGTAAAACACGCAAGCCCCGCCCCCACCCAGGAGCCGGCAGAGATGTGGCAGAGGCTGCTCCCGAGGGGAACCCGAGCCCGTCAGCCTTCGCCGGCCCACAGGACGCTCCCCGTGATATGCAGCACCTGGTGCTTTTCGGAGCATCGCGACCCACTCTCACCCTCGTCTCTCGGGCGGGGGTCTCCAGCCTCCAGGCGGTGGGCCGCCCCGCCCCCGCCAGGGGAGGAGCTAATAGGGAGCCTCCTGACTGCAGAAGGCCCCGCCCTGGAACAGGGTCAAGGAGGTGTGGTCACACTGCCGGCGGAAGTAGACCCCTCCGCGAGGGTGCAGGGCCGCCCGGGACGGGCGAAAAAGCTGGATTGTAGGACCGGGCCGAGCTAGCGATGGGTACGCGGGCGGACAGCGCAGAGCTGCGCGCGGACCCGCGAGGCAACGAGGACGCGGCGCAGCGGCGGCAGGGACAGAAGGCGCCACACGGCCGGGAGGCGCGAGCAGGTGCCCAAGGGGCGGGGCGGGCCAAGGGTGGGAGCTTAGCGGGGGCGGGGGCCCCCCAGCGTGGGATGCGCGCGCACCTCCCCGCGCCCGATTTCCGCCCCGCCCATGTGGGGGAGGGGCACGCTGAGGCCCCGCCCACGCGCGTCGCCTGAGGCCGGTCAGCTCAGATTAGGCGCCCGCCCCCGCTGGTTAAATGAGCCGGCGGGGCACAGCCCCCGGAAACGGCCTGGGATTCAGGGGCTAGGAGCGCGGCGTTCGTCGGCTGTGAGACGCAGGTAACGTGGGGGCCAGGCGCCGCGCCAGCGGAGGAGCATGCTGTGCCGCGCGGCCCTTTGATTTGCCATGCTTGGGAGCGGGGCCGAATGGAGAGGGTTTAATTGGTCCCAGTGTCCCCTGCATCTCTCCGTTGAACCCCTGAGGAGATAGAGACCCTGAGAGGGGCGGCGACTTGCCGGCGTCTCCCAGCTTGGCCGGAGGAGCGCTGGAACTGCACCGTCGTCTGCGTGGTCTAACATGCTCCCGCTCATTGTGGAGTTTCCGCTGGAGTCTGGGGTGAATTGGTCCTAGGCAGGCTACGTAGCGCTCCAGCAGTTTTCCATAGTCCCGCAGAATTGAGGCTCTTGCTGGCATCCACCAGTGCTTTGAGTGTGGTAAAGTATGTATATTTTGTAGAGTATGCCATGAGAAAAAGTTGCCTGGATAGTATGGTGGGAGCCCAGAGCCTGCAGTTTCTAACCCCCCAGAGCCTGCAGTTTCTAACCCCCCAGCCGTCCTGTTCCCCAGCCATTCAGTGAGTGGTTTCAATAATCAGGCATCGCTGGGTGAGATCCCAAAGGACCCCTCCAGAAGCGGACCAAACTTCTCAATGCTCTTCTGTTCTGTGCCTTGTCAACGAGCCTTTCTTTAACCAGAGAGCATCATGGCAGAGCAGGTGGCCCTGAGCCGGACCCAGGTGTGTGGGATCCTGCGGGAAGAGCTGTACCAGGGCAATGCCTTCCATCGATCTGACACACATATCTTCATCATCATGGGTGCATCGGTGAGTCTCCCCGCGGGCCCCACATCTTAAACAGGCTTCAAGTGTGACATTGCCTCAGGTCCCTTCCTGCTGGGTCCCTGGGCTTTCCCAACTCATTGTCGTGGGGCCCCAGGGGCTCCGCTCCACTAGGCCCTCCCTCTTGCTCCTGCCCGTATGCCACTATCTTCCCAGTACCACCCAGTATAAGTGCACTGCCAGGTGGTCATGAAATCCGTGTGCAGCCATTGACTATAGACCCATGTCCTGGAGCGGGGGGTCCTTAGAGACTGTCTGGTCGGACTTCTTCCTTCACTGGGAAAACCGAGCTGCCGACAGGGGAGGCTGTTCACTTTGGATCCTTTTCCAACCTCTTTGTGACTTGACAAATGTCACACAGTTAGTCCCAAAGGCAGGATCTGAGGCCCGAGCTCCACCTTGTCCCTCTCTACCACAAGTTTCCCCGGAGGGGGAAACACTCGACCTTCCTTTGAATACCATGTCATTACCCAAACTTCCACGGCCTGCTGAGGAGCTATGACCTGTCCCACCCCAGCCCATTGTATCAGCTGAGGAACTGCCATTTTGGCCCAGAAGGTCAAAGTCAGAGGTATAGCACATGAACTGGACATGATGGAGGGTGGAGACAGGAGGGGGTTGGGGGTGCCTAGTGGAGCCGTGACCCCCCAGACTAAAGCATCCCGCCGGTGTGCCCTGTGGAAACCAGATCTGCCGGGTGGCAAGGTGAGCTGCCAGGGTTTCATCTCCAAGTAAAAGTGATCTCTCTTCACTTTCCTCCTGGGCAAGACTGACAACCTGCTAACCATCCCGTGACAATTTCTGCCAGTAACTTGTACAATCTCAAGCAGTAATTCTAACAAAGTAGCTGACTCTTGACAGGGTACACGTTGTCTCTCTGTGCCTTCCATGTCAAGGTCCCCTTAGCTCTGGAAGAGAACTTGGTTCTTTGTTCATGTATCATATGCAGAGCCTCTCCTTGCCAGCTTTTGTGATTCTGATCAGAACTCAGAAAGGGAGGGCAGGACACAGTGCTGCTGGGGGGAGCACTCTGTCAGAAGGTGGGGGGAGGGCAGGCCACCCCAAGCACTGTCCTCTGAGTCCATAACCCCAAGAGTAGGGGGAACCCGGGGACATGGGGCAGCGGGGAGCAGCCTTGGTCTCTACCCTGGCCCTCCTTCAAGGGAGCACGTTCTGCTTCGAGGAGCTATACCTGTATTGGCCACAGACCTTCCCACCTAGGACTCTGACCATTAGGCTGTTCGTTCAAGAAACAAGTTGGAGCAGAAAGCTACTCAGGATCGTTCCTCTTCCTTCCCCCGTCCATACAGCAGCCTGTCATAGGGCGCTCCACCAGCAGACCCCAGGCCACAATAAATGGCTTAGAACTCCAGGCCCTCAACTCTTAGATGCTTTATTGAGAGCATCCATTGAGAGATGCTGTGTGACTGGCAAGTGTCTTTCCTCTCTGAACCTCAGTGTTTCCACATAGCAAATGAGGCCTTTTGAAACAGATGTCAAGAGACTTGGAGCTGAGCTAATTCCCTGATTGCTCACTGCCTTCGCCTATGGCCAGCTTGGGGTTGAGCAACTTTTTTTGCAATTGATAGGGTTCCCCTTTGCTCTCCTCTGCCCTGAGAGCAACATCCAGAGGCTTCCAGAGCAGAAATGGGAGGTGCCACTACAGCAGGGTGGGGTGGGGGAGGACCCCTTGTCCTGAGTTGTTTCGCCCATCCTCCTGCTCAAGGGGGCTGGGGCCAGGCGGGTGGGCGTCCCGTGCGCAAGCAGCATCTAGAACAGCTCCCGCTGTCTGATGCCTGCCCCCCCCCCCTTGTAGGAGATAGAGCGGCACTGGAGACGCACTGTGCCACAGCCTGATTCTGGGAACCAGCAGGTTCCCTGCTCGTTCATCCATTAAATCGTAGTCAGTGGCTTCTCTGCAGTGTAGTGAACACGGGCTCTGCCTTCTTTGTGTGATCTGTATGCTGGGCCGAAGGGACCCAAGGAGAGTTGGTAGCCGAATAAGAACTCGTAGTGGCGCACGTGACAGAAAAAGGAAACAGGCCCTTGTGTCCCCAGCCACCTCCGGCACACAGTTCCCATGAGGAGGGCCTTCCGAGTGAGGTTTGCAGAGCCAGGGTTGGGGAGCACGCGTGCAAAGAGAGGAGCAGGTGCAGAGCCGCCAGTGGCCAGCAGATGCCCCAGGGCAGGCTGGGCCCACAAGGCCACCCTCTGCCCCTTCCTCCTTCCTCCCCTGTTTACCCACCCCTCGCTCTCACGCCTAGCTTCCTTGCTGGGAGCGTCCTGATGCTGGCTTACGGAGCTACCCAATAGGCTTTGAGCTGCTCTCTGTTCCTCTAGTGTGGCCGTCACCCCCTTGCTCAGGACTCCTGCGCCCAGCCGGGGAAGGAGTGGAGGTACTTACTGTACCCGTCAGGAATGAAAGAAACAAGTTTCTCTTTACAGACCAGTGTCGGAGGGGAACCTTGGGCCTGGCAGGTCACCTCCTCTCCCAGCTGATAAGACCGCGGATAGGCCAGCAGACTCTCCCCCATAGAGGATGGAGAAAGGAATGGAGGAGCGGGAGAGAGAATAGGACAGGGAGTGTGCCTGGGCAGAACTGGCTCGCTGCAGGGTTCTCGGCGAGCCCCTCACCTCTCTGGACCTCAAATCTCCCCACCTGGACCGCAAGGGCCATGGACTTGATGGGTGTTAGAGCCTCATGCCCGTATGACCTGGAAGCACTAGCGCCTCTCTCCTTTGGGGGCATTTCTGGGCTGCCTTTCCCCCTTGGGTCGATAAGATTCTTGCTGTGTCATGATGACCTTGGCACTTCCCCAGAGGCCTGATGATTCACGAGCCCCAGGGTGTAAGAGGGAGGCCCTTTTGTTGGTTTTGCAGCTGAGCCTACCTCGGCAGCCCCCAGGTTCTCCCCGGCTGTCAGGAGCCAACTGGGCCCCAGCCAGGGCCCAGCCTCCACCCCAGGAGTCCAGGCAGATCCTTGACCCAGGTGACCCTCGGGGGACCTGGGTGGCCCACCCCTGCCAGGCCTCCAGCTGGCAGCCAGCCTGTGAAGCTCTCTGCTGTACCTTCCGCCATAAAATCCTCACGCAGAGATGTCGGCAGTGGCTCGGGTTTATAACGCTAGAAGCTGAGGTCAAGCCTAGGGGGCAACACGCAGGTGGTGGCCCCCGCTGCACTCCAGCGGGGACAGATGTTGGTACCTGGAGATCTTAACGAGGGCCGCTTCTCCTGCTAGGTCACCACAGGTGTCGGGGCAGCTCTTTCCCCACTGTGGTTCTCAGGCAAAATGAGGGGGTTGGGAAAGACGAGACTTCCAACCGCATTTCACCTGGAGTCCCTGCGCTCCATCCCCCCCACCCCCCCTCCCTCCCGGCTCATGGCGTGCTTTGATTTGGTCGATGCCTTCCCACGTTCCTTCTTGCAAAGGAGGCTGGTCTAGGCTGGGGGGGAGGGCGGGCCACTTCCCTGGAGCAGCCGCCAACACCCCCTACCACTGTCCTGGGTCCCACCTCACCTCTCCCGTGGTTGACGTGGAGCCCAGCAGGCCTCTGGTCACAGGGACTGAGCTGAACAAGGCAAGCAGGTTCCGTTGCTGGTTAATCCCAAGGGGAGCAGCAAGAACAAACAGCTTAGGGTGTTGGGCATCGTGACTCAGCAGACAGGAGGCTAGTCCCCTGCCACCAATCCGTTGCCCGCAACCTGTCCCGATTCCTGTCAGCCTACTGGAATTTGATCGTCAGCAAACATCACCTGCCACAAGGAAGGTCGGGAGGTGTTTGCAGGCCGTGGTTCTGATTGTTTCTCCCGCGGGCTGGTCCCCAGCAAACCGGTCCTCTCTGGAGCACGCAGGGCTGAAGTGACCTGAGCAGTGTCTCCCCCCAGCCCCACTGATGGGTCAGTGTGAGGAGTGCCGTAACGAGGGCTGCTGGGCACTGAGGGAGGTGGACAGGGAGCTTACTTCCCAGGCTGGGGGTTGGAGTGGGACCTTGAAAGACCAGCGACAGAAGCCATCTGAAGGTGGCAGTTACAACAGGGACCCACACCAGATTCCTTGGGGGATCGATTGTGAACAGGAGATGTGGGCACGGGCACCAACACAGGGAACCCTGGTTTGGGAACCACTGACTTTGGGAGTTTGGGGTCCCATTGGAGCCTGGAAATGACACAGGGAGATGACAGAAACTTGCCTGCGTGGGGACATCGGGTCACCCAAGGAGCAAAGAACAGGAGGAAACTGGAGCAAACAAGGCACCCTCGAGCCTGCACCCGCCCCCACCCAGAGTCGGGATCTCCCACCCAGGAGCCCGCTGGGTGCCTTCCTAACTGCTTGTCTCTTGCAGGGGGGAGCATTTAACCAGGCCAGAATTGCTTTGGTTCTGGTCACGTGGCTTCCATTTTGCAGCTGTTCATAGAAATGAGTTTATCCAGTAGTTACATTGCTTCTAAAAGGTAATTTCACATTGAATATTTAGGTCCTCGTCCCTGGAGTTAGTTTCTCGGCCTGCGGCAAGTCCAGTACACCCCAGCCTGGCTTCCTCTCTCCCCGATGATTGGCAATGCTTGGCGGAGCGCGGGTTCCCGCCCGGGGCCCATCCCACGCTCTAATTGTAGGGCACACAGATGAAAGGGCTCCCTGCTTCTCTGTTCTTCCGGAGCCCATGACCGTTCTTGCCCCTTCCTCTTCCACCTGGAGCAGAGAATTCCTTTGTTAGCTTACAAAATTCAACCTTGTTGGAGCGGGGAGAGAAGGAACTCGGTGATTCTTTCTGGGGTGGGGGGGGTCCTCTTGAATATCTGGGATGCGCCACGCTGTGGCTCGAAGCTGCCTTGTGTTCAACACCCTTTTGTTTTGGAAAATCTCGCACATCCACAAAGTGGACAGAATGACGCAGCGAATGGCCGCTGTCCGTTGGCCGGCTCCTGTGACTTTCTGCCCTTGTTTCGCCCGTTCCCCAGCCTCTGCTCGACTGTTGCATTGAGGTTTGATTTGGTTCGGTTCGGTTTTCAGGGTTTGTTTCTTAGACGAAATCTAAATGTTGACTGAGCATCTGGGTTGTCCCGAGCGCGGGGCCACCGCGAGTTAAGGCTGCCGTGAACGTCCGCGTACAGTTTGCGCCGCCTCCTCTCCGGCGCTCGGCGCTGCCGGTCGTTCGGATTGCAGCCTTTCCAACAGACGTGAAGCAGCATCTGGTGGTTTAACGCGCGTTTTTCTGCCCCGTGATGACCTCGCACACTTGCTCACGTGTCTGTTAGCCATTCGTTTCTCTTCCTGGCCAAGTATCCGGTCGATCTCTAATTGCGTTGGTTTCTTATCTTCCCATAGGAGTAAGTTATATATTCTGGGTCGTAGGCAGAGCTTGCCTCCAGACGGGCTTCCCTCTTGCCGGTGTTTCGGTAGGGCCCCCTGGTGAAGCGCCCTAGTGCACGGGTCAGGGTTTGGTACTGTCGGGGCCGAAAGGTTTGTGGCCGCGATCCGATTTCCTGTGTGACCATCACCCACTCAGGTCCCTGTCCATTTGGATGGATTGGATTTTTCTAGAAATTTGTCCATTTCGTCAAAGTTGTCAGACATGGCGTGAGGTTGTTCATAAAATGCCCTTTTGTGTTTTCCTGACTGTGCTTTTGTCCTGTTGCACTCCTAATTCTTGGTGCGTTTTAGAAAAACAGTCTCGCCAGAGGGTTGTCTGTCTTCATTAGTCTTTTTAAAAACCAACTTTTGGCTCTGTTGATATATTTTTTCGGTTTGTTTTCCATTTTATGAATTTTTAGTTTTCATTGTTTTCTGCCCTGTAATTTGTTTGGCTTTAAAATCGTCTCGGGCCGCACGGGTGGCTCAGTTGGTTGAGCATCCGACTTTCAGCTCAGGTCATGATCTCACGGTTCGTGAGTTCGAGCCCCACGTTGGGTTTGCTGCTGTCAGTCCAGAGCCCACTTCCGACCCTCTGTCCCCATTTCTCTGTACCCCTCCCCCATTCACACTCTGTCTCAAAAATAAACAAATATTTAAAAAGAAAATAAAAGTTCTACTGTCTTTTGTCTGATTTCTTAAGTCTGGCACTTAGCTCTTTAGTCCCAAGCTAATGTCAGCATTTCAGGCCATGCCTCCTAGGTTTTCATATATGCTACTTCTGTTGCCGTTGGGTTCTAGAGTTTTCAGGTTTCCTCATTTAGCCTGTGGGCTGTTTAGAAGTGGGCTATTTGAAGGGTGCCCGAGGGGCTCAGTCTTTTGAGTGTCTGACTTCGGCTCAGGTCATGATCTCCATGGTTGGTAGGATCGAGCCCCGCGTCAGGCTCCATGCTGACTGTGCGGAGCCTGCTTGGGATTCTCTCCTTCTCTCTGTTCCTCCTCGACTCGTGCTTTCTCTGTCTCTCAAAATAAATAAATAAACTCTAAAAAAAATGGGCTTTCTGAAACTTTTTTTATTTTCGTTTTAGAGAGAACAGGCGTGCACACGTGAGTGAGCAAGGGAGGGGCAGAGGGGGAGAAAGAGAATCTTAAGCAGGCTGGGTGCCTGGGTGGCTCAGTCAGTTGAACATCCGACTTCAGCTC